CTCCGCCATGAAAAATTATTATTGATTTAAACCAAGAGATTTATCAGGTTATTTGATTTTGATTTTCAGAAAATAATTTTTTTTAAATTTTATTGTTTATTTTCTGTATTTTAATATTTTCAATGAATTTTTTAATATTTAATCATTTCTTTTTAATTTTTAGACACACATAACATAAATACACTTAAAAAGTATAATATTTGTGAAAAAAATCTTTAAAAAATTCACTAAATACCATAAAATACAAAAAAAAAATGAAAATTCAGTATATTTTTCGTATTTTTGTGTATTTATTAAATTTTTCATAAATATTTTATTATTTAGATATATCTAAGTAAGGTACATTTAAAAAAGTAAAAAAATTGCTTAAAATTTTAAAAATATTCACTAAAAACAAAAAAAAAAAAAACAAAAAATAAAAACATAATTTTCAAAAAATTAAATTTAGAAAACTGAAATTAAACACAATCATTACTTTTGTATTGAAATTTTAAGAGATAAACAGTTACGATTTATAATTAGAGTATTGTTAGTAATTTCTTCCCCACTTAAATGTAACTTTAAGTCAACAAGTCAACTGATCAAAAGAGAGATAGAGAGAGTTCGATGGAGGTGTGTTTGGTGTTGCTTATTTTGGGCAACTTATAAATTTTAGTTTTAAAAAAGTTATTTTGGACTGTTTAGTTAAATTTATTTTAAATAACTTTTAATTTTAACAATTTAATTTAACTCAAGGTAAACTACCAATAGATCCTAATAGTTGGACTTAATTCCCATCAAGTCCTATTGAAAATAAGTCTTAGTAAAATTGTTACTAAAAATAATTTTGTTGTGACAATTTTTTATATATGTCGCTAAAAATTGACAATTAGTGACTTTTTTTTTGTCATGATTTTTATAAATTGCCGCTAAAACTAACCATTAGTAACTTTTTTTTATGACAAATTTTTCTCATGGGACCTACCCCAAAAATTAATTCTGAGAAACTATCCACCCTCTACTTTTGATTATCAGCTTTTGTTGTATGCATGTTAATTTACGATTATATCCTTGATTTTTTTACTTTTTATTTTTTATTTTTTAAAAAATAGAAAAAGATCCAAATGAACTATGGATTATTATTATTTTTTATTAGAAATGTGGACTAGTAATGAATGACAAAAAATAAAAGTTAATTCAAAAGGATATTTCACAGTTTATTTACTGAATACTACTTGGCAACTTAAATTTATAATTTAACAGTTGCACCAAACAGATAAACAACTTCTAATTACAATTATAATCTATAATCCGTTAAATTATAATTTATAATTTGTTGTAATAACTGCACTAAATGCCCCCAATATCTTTTTCCTTTTCAATGTTTTGTTCTAAGTTAGAACTTCTAACAATGATTTTTTTTTTTTTTATAATAATCCTCATTTCATATGCATTTTTATAAATGCCCCCAATATCTTTTTCCTTTTCAATGTTTTGTTCTAAGTTAGAACTTCTAACAATGATTTTTTTTTTTTTTATAATAATCCTCATTTCATATGCATTTTTATTTTTATGAGAAGGTAGTTTTTGAAAATACAAGAAACAAATTAAAACTTTATCAAAAAATGATTTCAACAAAACAATTTATCAAATAATAAGGGTGTGTTTGGTAACGTTTACGTTTTCAGTTTATATTTACAAAAATTTTATAAACTGGTTTTTGTTTATTTTTTGTTTATTTTTAGAAAAACATAAACTACAAACGTGTTTGGTAATTGACAAAATATTTTAAAAAAAATCTTAATATAAAAAAAAGTGAGAAATGACAAGTGGTGGCAAGTGGCGGCGGACGACGGTGGTGGAAAGTGGTGACGGTGAGTGGTGGGTAGCTGGTGGTGGTGGGTGGTGGTGGTGGTTGGGTGGGTGACGGTGGCGGGTGGTTGGTGGTGGGTGGTAGCGAGTGCCCTCTCTTTTTTATCAATTTATAAATGTATGTTATAAATAATTTGTATCTTACAAAAAAAAAAAGAAAAAAAAGAAGAAGTTAAACTTGAATAAAAAAATTACTACTAAAAAAAACTAATAAACTAAATATATATATAATAAAAAAAATCTCAATTTGAGATGTCCTAAAAAATGATTGACATGACATTGAAGTGCTACTGTACATACCTCCCAAAATACACTTGTGGTATCCATTGGGTTATTTTGGAAAGTAAGTTAAAAGGCTGATTTTTTGACCCCTTTTTTTTTTATTTTTTTTGAAAAAATGTGTAAAAAAATAACTTTTTACCCACTTACCAAAACAAACCAAAGTTTCATTCAAAATAATCTTTCATAGTAAAACGTTACAATCTCATAATCAAGTCATAATCACATCTAAAAAATAAATTAAAAAAAAAATCTCAAAATCAAAATTAATTTGGGTCATAAGCAAAAATACCATAAAAATCTTATAGTCAAGTTTCTATAAATTTAATCACATCACAATTTTATAATTAAATTCTACATGATAGATAGCTAAGATTATTATTCAGTGTGCTTGGTTTCCATTTTCTGAATTCAATTTTTTAGAAATTGAGTTTTTTACTCAGATATATCTAAAAGGTAAAACGTTTGCAAAAAATGTTTTTGAAAATTAATAAATACACAAAAATAAAAAAAATAAAAAAATTCTAAATTTTTGTATTTTTTTGTATTTTTGATATTTACTAATTTTTTTAAAAAAAATTTCACAAATATTTTACTTTTTAAGTGTATTTATGTTAGGTGTGTGTTAAAAAAAAATTGCTTAAAATATTAAAAAAATTTAGTGAAAAGAAAAAAATACGGCAATATAAAAAAGTAAATTTTTTTGAAAAGTGAATTATGAAAACTAAAACCAAGCAAATTAATTTTTATTATTATTATTTTATAATTAGAATGTACTATTCGCATCATAAAATTTTCAAACTGATCTATACGAGGCTGACATGACGAGGATCCCTTACTTTCAAGTTTAGATTTATCAAAGTTGAAAATCATAATTTTGTAGTTAAATTTTAATTTATCTGAATCATTCATCTCATATAACAAATTAAAGAGAACATGAAAAAAATTAGATTGATCAAATATAAATAATTATATGATCAAATCATATATATATATTATAACATATTGATGGTCCATTCTTAAGAGCATATAAGTCATATAAATCAAAATGATCTAACAATATGACAATCAATATTGGATCAACTTAATTTTTTACATGAATAATTTTTTTTTAAATTTTATAAAATAAACGATTTAGATCACTACAATTTGTGAAAATTAATTTGATTATATATTAACTTTCTTGTAAATTTGAGATATTTAATTTTAACAAATTTTTTTTTTCTTGTGTGTGTTATACTTTCCACAACCAAAATGGACTGAAAAGACAATTAAACCAGCGAAGTCGTCGACGCTATCCGATCTTTTTCTTTCAGAAAATGTTTGGGTGTTTTAGAAGAAGAGCTGTAGAGAGCTTTAATGGGGGTGAGTTTTACTATGATGTGGTGTTTAAACTTACTTTTCTATATATATATTTTGCTATGCCACATTACTAGAGCTGGGTTCAAAGTCCGGTTCTAGAGTTTTGAATCATTATCCTTTTTTTCTCTTTTCTATTAGGATTATGATTCATCCTCCTAAAACTAAAAGTCTAATTAAGCTCTAGTAATGTGAAAAAAAAAAAAAAAGTCAAAATATCATATCAGATAGAGTCCACACATATAAATTAGGGGTATTAGAATTCTCTTCCTCAAGCTCTCAAACATTTTTTTGTGTAATATTTTCCACGATCAAAAATTGACTGAAAAGACAATTAAATCAGCAAAGTCTAGACGCTTTGCATACGTTTGTTTTGTTTCCCACTACTAGTTTGGCTAGTAGCTTGCGTGGTGGGTGGGTTAGACCATGAGTATGACTATGACTATAACTATGACCGTGATCAATGAATGGGTAATGGTTTGTTTTGGGCCCGCTGTATGATCAGTAAATTATAATCTTATCTTAGGTTTGGGTCAAGAATGAGATGTTGGGTGCAGATTGACAATTTATATATTGTTTAGTGTATGTATAAAATGAATTTGAATTATATATTAATATTTTGAACAATTTTTAAATAAAATTTCTAAATTTGTAATATTTTTACTGAACGATTAATGTTAATCTGTTGTGAAAAATGACAATAATAGGAATGTAAAAAATTTGTTAGTAAATTTATCTCAAAATGTGATGTGTGACTTAAATTTAGTTTTTGTATAATAAAATTTATAATTGAAATGAATCTCCACTCACCTTTTTTTTTTTGTTAATATTTTTCTGAATAATTTTTTTGAACACTTGGCATTGCTGTGAGGAAAAGGAGAGGCAAATTGTGGAGGATGATAACAAGATGGTGAAAGAATTGTTTTTCATGTGGTTTTGTTTTTAAGAATTGTTTTCTATTTCCCCTAATATATTTTGAGTAATTAGTAGTACATTTGGTTGATGCCTCCGAGATAAAAAAAAAAAAAAAAAAAAAAAAAAAAAAAACGAACCAACCGTAGCTCAACACGCGTCCGTACCCCTTATTTTCTTGAAAAGAACATAAATAAAAGGCTGAAGAAAGCTAATAATGAAGGGTACTGAAATTTTTGTTGCTGTCACCACCTTATTTGTTGCAGCAGCTGTGCCTTTGAAAAATGCTATCAACCCTACATGTATAATACTCCAGAATAAAGATTGAAGTTTTAATTTTGAAATTTTAAAAAGGGGGAAAATACTTCGGACCTTGTGGGGGGTACTAAGAGCCGCGTGTAATTGACATAAAAAAAAAATTATTATTACTTTTTTTTTTTATGTTTTCCGCCAATTTTTTTTTTTTTTTTTTATTCCTCTCTCTATAAAGAGAGAGTTCACTCTTGTAAAGATATAACACATAATAGACAGAAACCATTTTGCTCTCTAGCTTCTCTCATTCATTGCTCTCTAGCTTCTCTCTCAAACTAAACTTACAAATGTCATGGACTCTGTTTCAGTTCATGCGTGTTGTTACTGTTGTTGTTTTTGTTCTCATGGGGTGTTTGTGTTTGTGTTTGGGTGGTTCAGGCTCTAGTACTCATCGTCATCACGTTCATGTAGCCGGGAATGAGACGGATCGGCTAGCCTTGCTTGCATTCAAGGCTGAAATAACCGGTGATCCCTTCGGGGCTCTAAACTCGTGGAATGAATCCATCCACTTGTGTCAATGGGCTGGCATAACATGTGGCCGACGACACCAGAGGGTGACTGAGTTGATACTGGATCATCGAAAATTGACAGGCTCAATTTCGCCTCACATTGGAAATCTGAGCTTTCTTAGGGGACTGTGGTTGCGTAACAATAGCTTCACTCATCAAATCCCCCCTGAACTTGGCCATCTACGGAGACTACAAATATTGACACTACTCAATAATTCTATTGGTGGTGAAATTCCCGCCAATATATCTGCTTGCTCTAACCTTGTTGCCCTTGAGCTTTCTGGCAATAGTCTAGCTGGGAAAATTCCCGTGGAGCTTGGTTCTCTGTCTAAGCTCGAGCAGTTGTACATTGAAAGAAACAATCTAACAGGTGGCCTTCCTTACACTTTTGGGAATCTGTCATCCCTTCTTGAATTATATGCGAATCTCAATAATATCAATGGGAGTATACCTGAAACCCTGGGCCGATTGACAAACTTAAACTTTCTTGCATTGGGGGAGAACAAGTTGGTTGGTAATATTCCTTCCTCAATCTTTAATCTCTCTTCCATCACAGTTTTTGATATACCAATAAACCAAGTTCAAGGGAGACTTCCCTCAGATCTTGGAATTTCTTTTCCAACTCTTCAATGGTTTTCAGTTGAAAGTAACTTGTTTACTGGATCCATTCCTATTTCAATATCAAATGCAACCAACCTGAATACCCTTGACTTGGGAGAAAATAAATTTATTGGAAGAGTGCCTCCTTTGGGAATGATGCACAATCTTGGGTGGATAAACTTTGAAGACAATCATCTTGGAACAGGGGAAGCAGGTGATTTGAATTTTCTTAGCTCATTGCCCAATGCCACCAATTTGAACTTTTTGAGGCTGGGCTTGAACAACTTTGGAGGGGTGTTGCCAGAATCAATTGGCAATTTGTCCACTAATCTTGGTATCCTTTTTTTGGATAACAATAAAATAGGTGGGAGCATCCCAACCGAGATGGCGAATTTGGTCAGTTTGCAGGTTTTGGACATGTCAAACAATCATTTCATCGGTAACATTCTTGCTGATATTGGGAAGCTACAACAGCTACAAAATTTGGATCTCTCGGGTAATAAATTCTATGGGAAAATTCCATTGTCTTTGAAAAATTTGACTTTGCTAGAGCATCTTTATTTACAAGTAAATAATTTGCATGGCAACATTCCTCCAAGTCTGGGAAAATGCCCCCTTGTAGATCTGAATCTTGGTGGAAACAATCTTAGTGGTACGATACCCAAACAAGTTCTAACTCTCTCATCATTATTGAACTTGTACCTACATGACAACCATTTGGTTGGGTCCATACAACTAGAAATTGGGAATTTAATAAATCTTGAACAATTAGATGTTTCTAGGAATATGTTGTCTGGAAAAATTCCAAGCACTCTTGGTAATTGTGTAAAATTGAGATTTCTATATATACAGAGCAATAATTTCTGGGGAACTCTTCCTTCATCTTTAAGTTATTTGAGAGGTATTGAGAAATTAGATCTTTCTCACAATAATTTCTCAGGAAAAATCCCAGATTATTTTGAGGGTTTTGTCTTCTTACAAAAATTAGATCTATCATTCAATGATTTTGTGGGTGCGGTACCAGAAATAGGCATATTTAAAAATGCAACGGCTATTTCTATTAGGGGAAACAACAAGCTTTGTGGTGGTATACCTAAACTACATTTGCATAGTTGCAATACCAAGGGATTCAAAAGGAAAAGATTTACACCCATCTTGAAAATAATAATCCCCACATCGTTTGGTCTTCTGGGACTAGTAATACTGTTGTGTTTACTGTATCTTTGTTGCTTTAGAAAGACAACAAAAGTACCCTCTTTGAGATGTTTAGGGAAGTCATATGTGAAATTGTCCTACCAAAGCCTACTCAAGGCAACTGATGGGTTCTCTCCAGGCAACATGATAGGCATGGGTAGTTTTGGTTCAGTCTACAAAGGAATTCTTGATCACGGTGAAAAAGTTGTTGCAGTGAAGGTACTAAACCTTCAATTCCGTGGAGCTTCCAAGAGTTTCGTTGCTGAGTGTGAGGCCTTGAGGCGCATCAGACATCGAAATCTTGTCAAGGTTTTCACAGCATGTTCAAGTGTTGACTATAATGGTAATGATTTCAAAGCTCTGGTTTACGAGTTCATGGTCAATGGTAGCCTAGAGGATTGGTTACATGCAAATGAAAATGAAGATGAGGTTCATGTTGAATCAAGAAATTTAAACCTCCTACAAAGGTTAAATATTGCCGTTGATGTTGCTTCTGCACTTGATTATCTTCACCATCATTGCTCGGAACCAATAGTTCACTGTGATTTGAAGCCGAGCAATGTTCTTTTGAATGATGAAATGACTGGACATGTAGGTGATTTTGGGTTAGCTAGATTCCTTCCGGAAGGCACCTATAATTCTTCTACAACTCAATCAAGTTCCATTGGCTTAAGAGGGTCCGTTGGTTATGCTGCTCCAGGTAAATGTATCTCTTAGGCCCTTTTTTGATATTCCTTTTCACCTTCAATTTCCAACGTACTTTAGAGTCTGATTTGCATATCCATCAAGTATGCTCCTTCAATCAATGATGTAAAGCAGATGGTTCTTTGGTTTTATTTCTCGCAACATCATTTGCCCTTCAAATGCATGAAAATCAATGTTTGGCAAATACTTTCCAATGTGTTATTTAAAAGTAAATTATTTTTTTTTCTTTTCGGTTGCACATAATTTAGTCTGATAAATATGAAATTCAAAGGAATGCAAGTTCTTAATTTCATTAGTTTCTTGCTTATAATATACAATCCCATGTTTTAGAGGATTTTCCATACATCTCCATCTTGTTGCCTGCAAATCATAATCCATATAATTGTATTTACGTTTATTTTTGCCTTCAAATCTTAGTATTTTTCTTGGCGTAAAATGTGAAAGCATAACAACGTACAATATCTAACTTTTGTTCATCTCCTATGTGTGTAGTCATAGGATAACATAAAGAGAATATTAGAAAATCCTCTTTTGCTAATTTCAATCCTCCTATCTATTTCTTTTACGTTAATAAGTTTGATGAAAACAAACTTAATTGGATAAAGTTAAACTGTCACCCAAGCTTCAACTGCTTATTTCTTAAGAAGATATTGAACCATCAACTATTTGGTTTCATAAATATCACTGGGAAACAATCAAACTTGTTTCAAGTTGGGCCTTTCTCATGACACAAGCAGACAACCCAAATATTGTTATCTCACCAAGCGGAGATATAATTCTTTCCTATCTTACTTTAAACAATAAAGTTTTTTATGCTCTAAACTTGTTTTCTACAAAGAGTTATCTGTAGAAGGTACATTACTATTACTATTATTTGATATGCTTCTGACCAAGCATCTTTACAATTGTATTTACTTTGAATGATGCATCAATTGCAGAGTATGGTATGGGAAATGAGGTGACGACATCTGGTGATGTATACAGTTATGGTATCCTCTTATTGGAAATGTTTACGGGGAAGAGACCTACTGATAACATGTTTAATGATAGTCTGAGTCTCCATAACTTTGCTAAGATGGCTTTACCTGAACAAGTAGCGAGTGTTGTTGATCCAACACTAATTCAACAAAGAGAAATTGGGGAGGGAAGCTCAAGCACCGAAAACACTCAGAATCAGAGCTCTACTGGCAGTCATAAAATTTATGAGTGCTTGATTTCAATACTTAATATTGGAATCGCATGTTCACAAGAACTACCAAGAGATAGACCAACCATTAATCATGTTGTTACTCAGTTGTTTGTGATCAAGAACAACTTTCTTCGAACTGATGGAGTTCATGGAGGAAGAAGAGCTAGAATTACAGTGTGAGCATGAGTAGGTATGACCCTGTCACTTTCTTAGTAACTAAAGATTATACCTGCATTTATTACTGAAACTGTTGCAATTCTACACTAGGCCGACAAACTTTAGTGTGTCTTGTGGCATATAAATCATAACACCTTAGATATGCTATACTTCACCCAAATGACCACATTCTTAAACATTGACATTTTGATGGTGACAAAAAATCAGTTATGGTTCCTGTCAAGCATGATGGTTTCATTACCGAATGGAAATTCTTTTTTTCTTTGGTTTTTTATTTTCATTCCGTCAAAACTACGGTTCTTTTGAAAACTTCAGCAAATAATTCAACTAGATTCACATTACAAATATGACTAAGAATAATACATAAGCAAAAATCAATCAATATTAATCAACCTCTATTGCCAAAATCTTATTCCACGATACTAGAACCTCAGCTCTCATAACTTCAGAGTTGCAAAGTTCTTTCCCCTATAATCCCCTCCAACTTAATCTGGAAAACAAAATTGGTTAGAAACTGGAAGCATTTGAATGTCTTGACACAACTATGGTGGTTAGTGCACTTTGGATATACACTTAATGGAATTGATGGAAATGTAACTTCAAGTTTTTTAATCTGCATTTGGCTAGAGTTGAAAAATATACCAACTGATGGAGTATTGTGCAACTACTCTATTTTAATCCCTTTCAAAGCCTTAGAGGCTTATCTGTTCCTAAGGAGGGCAGCGTTGTTTAGATTGCACTAGTTGCCGAAGAAGAAAGACAAATGGCAAACTGACATTTTGTTGCATGTATTATGGGTTACACTCATTCCATGAATTTTGCATTCAATTAAGCTCGAAACATGACGCCAGATAAGGACAAGTGTTGTTCTTTACTTCTATGTTTTTTCTTTTTCCTTTTATGATCTTATGAGTAATTGGTTTACAATAACATATTTGTATACCTTTTTTCAATAAGGTACCAAAAAAAAACTGATTTTCAAGTTGCTTCAGCTACTTTTTTGTGTCTTATTTTAATTTTTTTATCATTTCTCATTATACTGTTTGAAGTTTTACTGAGTCATTTTTCTCTTTTCCTAGGTACTTGAGGTCTGATTGGAGTTCAAGATCTTTTTCAACTCAGCAACTATGTTATATTATCCTATGCTTTAATTTCTTTTTGTTTTTCCCCCCTCCTTCTTTTATGTTTTTAGTTTGTCTCAAGCATGCACTTTTCTCATCTAAATGTACTTCGGGAAGGCTATGGTTTGCAATGGCTATCTATCCTATTTTATACTCTAAAATAGGTTCATATGACTTGCAATGGTTCCAAACAAGTTGTTGCTGTAGAACTTATAATCTTTGTTGTGTTTGTTCGGAGGTATGAAAGAATGGGATTAGATTATATATTCTGTGTCCACTCCACAACTATGTGATGCTGCAAATTATTGTTTTGGCTGCTTGTTACATATATGATCCAATCCTATAATTTCTTTTCTTTAATTTTTTTTTAATGATTTTATGTTAGTCTCGAGCAGACATTCAACTTTTCTCATTTAAATGTACTTTTTAAGAAGGCTATGACTTGCAATGGCTATTCTATCATTTACTCTAAAACAGGTTCCATAGTTACGGATATGGCTTGCAATGGTCTAAACAAGACGTTACTGTAAAACTTTTTATAATCTATATATATGTGGTGTGATATAAACTAAGATATGGTTTGTATGTATTATGTTTGCTTGTAATAATTAGAGAAATGTGAAGAATACTATCAAAACTCAATTAGCTGGGATGAAGAATATTTTTTTTGTTTTTCTTATGATTTTTGTTGTGTTAAAGCTGTTATAGACTTGATTGTTTGTTGTCTGTTTTTTTAGTTGGTAAGAGTAGTTTGTCTATTTGCAAGTTTCAGGACCTGTTGATGTATCCTTTTTAAACTCTCTACTTGTTTGAAACTTTGGGCCAAATAGCCTAGATTTCCTTTTCAAAATTTATTGAATTTATTAAATACTTATAGAATTGCATTCAAGTGCATTGATATTCAGGATATGGTAAATCTGACATTACCTTGGTTTCTTACTGTGCATTTGGATTAAAAGGTTTGGTGACAAAAACAACAAAGTTACATTTTATATAATGATTGTTTTTACGTAATTGCATAAATTTAATCAAAACCAATTACACTAGTGCACAAGCAATAATCAATTATCTTACATCTACAATTAATGTCACCACACTAGTAATCCCATACATTATCCTAGTCAACCTAATCTGATAATCAAACATAACTATAAGTTTAAAAGATTAAAGGAATAAAAACTGCTTGTTATTATTAGGATTTGGGATGAAAACTTCCAGCTTTGGGCACTAGTACTTAGTTCCAATGAAGTTTTGTTTGCTCTCCAAAACCAGAGAATTCACACCCAACAACAGATCTATTAACTTAAAAACTAGAGAAATCGATTAGGTTAATTACAAGAATCATCCTCTGAAGTCTAAAGTCTAAAAATCATTTTAGAATATATATTAGTGGTTCCTGTGTATATATATGTTCAAGTTCTAATTGTTTTTTATCTGAGTATATATTTATCTTTGTCAGCAGTTGGAACGGAATTCCTTCCATTTGCTCATTCTAACAAATAATTAATGATTACTTGTTGAAAAAGGGGAATGAGTTCAGACCATTTTACGCCACTAAATTACCAAGTTCATCATAGATATGATTAAGGAGTAAAATATATATAATAGTGCTTTTAACAATTGATACCTCAAGAGCCATTGTTTATGCGATACAGACTTGACTTGTGGCAACCTGTTGCCATCTTTTTTTTCTCTTTGGATTATAATGAGATAAGGCATCCAATCTAACTAAAATTTATTGACTGATGTCAACTTATACGAAAAAACTATTTATATAGAATTCTTTAGCAAAATGATATAGCATTGACAATTTTTTGTATAACTAAATGTTATTTTAATCGAGATTTTTAATTTTAAAAAAATAAGTCACACTACAATCCTGTCATTTTAAATACAAATTCCGTAAATTTTTCATGTTTGTACACAAATTGTGTAAACTTCTAGAAAAATCCCAAATTAAGTGGGTTGGGTGGGATGACCATGAATGGGCAATATATAGTGGACTTGGGGGCTTTACTTATAATGACTCAAAGACATTTAGGGTCTTTTATTGGATATGAGATCATCTACCATTCTCTGTCTTATATTTTTTAATTATTGATGTGATGATGTAGTAATATCAGATAAGTATGAAATAGAAGATGGCAAAAAGGGAGACAGAAGATATGTACTCCGTTAATTGTAGAGAATAAAGTTTGAGAATAACAAATAAGATGGTGAAACGTTAGGGAAGAGAGGTTGTTGTTGTACTCACGAGGCACAGTAGTTTGTTATGCAGTCTTGTGTGGGCTTTTCTCGAGATTACTTCGATGATTCAAATCGGTTAAATTGTAAGATTCTTTAAGTAAATTATTCATGAAAAAAAATAGATTAATCAGACATATGTAGTCACAGAACGTCACATGTATTTAAAAAAAATTAAACTGCAAGTGGAGGTGGAACTAAGATGATTGTGCAAGTAGAGAATAAATTTAAATTTACCTTACAACAAAAAAGAAGAAGAAGATTGTTGGAGAGTAAATTTAAATTAATTTTTTAAATATACTCAAGGGTCTGATTGATATTTTTTTGGATAGTTCGAAGGGTAAAGTGAAGTTTCAAATTAAATTTCAGTGTTATATTAGCAACTTCCATTTGATTATACATGGTAGCTAACGGTGAGGGTGAAATTAATATAAAATCGAATAGTTTAAGTATAAAATTGTTATTAAAAAAACTTGGATTAAATTAATTTTAAAATGATAGTTTGGGGAATAAAATGAAATTTCATTTGATTTTAAATTTAATAAAAAAGTTCAAGGCTATGTTTGGATTATGGATTCGGATAGAAATTTGAAAAGTAAAAGAAAAAAATTTAGATTGTGGGGTGGAGATTGAATCGGTAGTGTGAGTTCTACAATGAATTTAAACTATAGATTGATGGCAAGTGCGTGATCTTGATCATGATGATGATCATGACTTTTTTTCTGCAGGACTGACTGACTTCATATGCAGTGAGAGATGGGATTGATTGAGAAACCTTTAAGCCTAATAGGGGAAAAAAAAATAATAATAATAATAATGAGGAAGAAGTGATTTAGAACATTGAAGACAACACTATTTCCCCAGATGAGTGATCTTGATCATGTTCATGTAGCTGGGAATGAGACAGATTGGCTAGCAATGTTGCATTCAAGGCTCAAATACTCGTCATGTTCATGTTTAATATCACACTTTTTAATTGTATTTATATTAAGTGTATCTAAAAAAATATCATAAACTATTTTAAAAATTCACTAAAAACAAAAAAAAAAAATACAAAAACAAAAAATCAATTTAAAAAAAATTAAATTCACAAAATTGGAACCAAAGTGATTGGTTTCCTGTTCTCCCTCATAATAATAAACTTGATTAAATCATGCTGTAATGATTATGCATATTTAACAGATGGGGATAAGCACTATAAATAAAGTAACAAAAATTAAGGGCAAAGTGGAAAGAACTCTAAATAATAAACTTGATGCTCTGATTCATTCTTCAAAGTGAGAGAACAGATTGAAAATTCTTTACAACAGTGCAAAACACAATAGACTTTCAAACTCAATTTGTTGTTTCCAATACCCAGATGGGTTCAATAGTGCCATGGGAATGAAACTGACCGGCTAGCCTTGCTTGCATTCAAGTTTGAAATAACAAGTGATCCATTCGGTGCTCTCAACTCGTGGAATGAATCAATCCACTTCTGTCAATGGTTTGGTGTAACATGTGGCTGCTCCAACCAGAGGCTCATTGTGTTGAACTTGGATCATAAAAAATTAACAGGCTCCATTTCACCTCACATTGGAAATCTAAGCTTTCTCAATGAACTATCATTGAGTAACAATAGTCTTAGTTGTTCTTGAATTTTCTGGCAATAGGTTGGGAGGGAAAATTCTAGTGGAGCTGGGTTCTCTAAGTTAAAGAGACTGTACATTGGGAGAAACAATCTAACAGGTAGTGAACCTCATTCTTTCGGGAATCTATCATTTGTTGCAGAAGAAAATAGTATTGGTGGTGACATACCTGTTGATCTGGGTCGATTGACAAACTTGGAAACTTTTCTGTTGAGGATGAACAGGTTGGTTGGTACCATTCCTTTCTCAATCTTTAATCTCTCGTCTGCTACAGAATTTAATGTCGTAATGAACCAAATTCAAGGGAGCCTTCCCTGGGACCTAGGAATTACTCTTCCCAATCTTAGTGTCTTTGAAGTTGGTGTAAACTCGTTTACTAGATCCATTCCTGTTTCAATGTCTAATGCCACTAAACTACAACGCCTTGGCTTGGCCGGTAATAAATTTACTGGAAAAGTTCCTCCTTTGGACAACCTGCATGATCTTCAGCTGTTAAACTTTCATGGAAATGGTTTAGGAGCCGGGGAAGCCGATGACTTGAGGTTTCTCTATTCTTTGACCAATGTGACAAATTTGAACGTTCTAGATCTGAGCAAAAACAATTTTGGAGGATTGTTGCATGAATCAATTGGCAATTTATCCACTAATCTTGGTAAACTAATATTGAGCAACAATGAAATAGTTGGGATCATCCCAACCGGGATAAGAAATCTGATCAATTTGCAGATTCTTGACTTGTCAAACAACAATTTCACAGGTAACATTCTTGCTGATATTGGAAAGTTTCAAAAGCTACAGAAATTGGATCTCTCAGGTAATATGATCTACGTGGATATCCCATTGTCTTTTGGAAATTTAACTGTGTTGACAAATCTTATGTTATGCAACAATAATCTTCATGGCAGAATCCCTTGAAGTCTTGGGAAATGCCAAATGTTACAGGAACTAAGACTAGTTCAAAACAATCTTGGTGGTACCATACCCAGTGAAGTTCTCAGTCTCTTATCGTCATTGTATCTACACATATCTTGTAATGATTTGGCTGATTCCCTTCCAATGGACATTGGAATTTTAAAAAATCTAGAAGAACTTGATGTTTCTGAGAACATGTTGGCCGGTGAAATTCCAAGCACTCTTGGTAGTTGCTTAAAATTGAGATTACTACATATAGAGAGCAACAAATTATGGGGAATCCTTCCTTCATCTTCAAGTAATTTTAGAGGTACGGAGGAGTTAGATCTTTCTCACAATAATTTCTTTGGAAAAATCCCAGACTATTTAGAGGACTTTCCCTTCTTACAAAAATTAAGTCTATCATTCCATGATTTTGAGGGTGCGGTACCAGAAAGTGGCATATTTCCGAACGTGACATCTATTTCTGTTAAGGGAAAT